AAGGCCAGTTTCCCTATTCAAAGACTGTTTTGCAGAAAAGCAGGCTGGGAGGAAGAGAGAAAAGAGGGAATGGAGGTTATAGAGTTAGAAGTTAGAACAGCAATCAACAAAGAAGCTCATATGCTTGGACTGTAAGGATTTAGCGTAATTGTGAGTTTCCAACACTCAATAATTGCATGGCAAAGTACAACACCTATTTCAACAACTGGTTTCGTAAGTTTTTTTTCCGGTCTGAAGGGAATTCGAACCCAAGAAATCATGTGGGAAGGGAAGTGAGCCTCTCAAGGCCAACCAAAGCCAGCAGGGCTAATACCCCCTGGATTCTTGAGTGTAAACAGCTAATAAGAAAGACACAAAAAGTGAAACCAACTACTATACAAAAATTTTGAAAGCATGCGATCACCGAAGGTATGTAGCAAAAATAGATTGAAATGAAGGATAAAAAAGATGCCACAACCCTCAAGTGTGTTTATACAACAAGCATTATGAGGTTTTCACATGCAAGGCATGGAATTCGTGAGTTTGGTAGCTCAATTTGTCAAGTTTTGCTGAAAAAACTGCATAAGGAAAAATGGACTTGCTGAATGCAGAGTCAAAACCCCAACTAATGAATGCAGGCTTAAGTAGAAGTTTATGATAATAAACCAAGGAAAGTCAAACTATAAATTTCTGCGAAGGGGAAATGAAGAGGAATTGATAGATGACTTGTCAAAGAAGGAATAATTTCCAAATTCCAAGTATATAATATGTAGAACCAAATTGCAATCTATAATTACCATTGCTTCTTTTGCTGTAAGCCTGTCTTGATGATCATAGCGAAGCAGCTTATCAAGAAAATCAATGGCCTGCATATTACAAGCAAAAGCACAAAATAAGCTAGCAGTAACGGTATATAGATAGCTGAAATAATTAGGAGGATAAAACAACACAAAACTGTTTAATGACACAAAATGATTAACCTCTGGGGAAACCAGATGCTGATTGTCTGCATTAATAAATCTGGACCAAGGCTTCCTGCTGTGCCTGTAGGAAGAAATTATGGAAAATAATTTCAATGAGTATTAATTGTTGATGTTTTTATATTATATTTTTGATACACATTTGTGGAAGATGTGGGTTGGTATATTTGGTGTTGGCTGATAAAGATTCTTAAAGAAGCAGCTCTTCCAAATCAGAAAGATGCAAACCAGCTTGCATTACACACAGGCTACAGGGCAAAAGCTTGTAACCTTTGTTAAGGAAAAAAAAATCAGATCAATCTGTATGCCGGGGATGAAAGTTTCTTCTAAGTACCTTCCAACAAGAGCATCAAGTTGAGGATCCAGCTCCAGATGATATTTGTGCAAATATGCATTCAACTCATCTGTCCCAAGAACCTGTAAGACCATAATCAATGTAAGTATACACTTTGCATTGCGCCTTAAAAATAATAGACAATAGTGTGTGATAATACATGTGATGTAAAATTGAATAGGTGATAAGTTTCTCTATACACCAGTTTCTTTGTGACTCAGGAAAATGGACAAACACGGAATAAAGTGGGATCCCTTGGCCTATTGTATTAACACTACACTCCTAATACTGCATTGAAGCAGTTTGCTCAGTCACGCATGTTAAGCTATGTTCCCATGCAGAACCAACATGACTGGTCTAGTAGTTTTGAATCATAAAACATGGCAGGTCTTATGGTTGTCTCGTGAACTTGCCATATAACTTGGAAGTTGTACACTGATCACACAATATGCCAGATACATCCACCCATTTAATCTATTATGTTTTAATTCTATTTGTAACATCGTTCCAATCTACCCATGGATAACTGACTTTAAATTAGCATCTCTTGATCTTTATCTTTACTAATACACCTTTGGATTTCTAATTTTAGTGACGTTACATTCCATATATTCAGTTTTATTTCTGCTTATCGTAAGTACTTTCAATTCTATTTGTTTCAAAGCTATAAGCAACAATTTTCCCTTTGCAAATTCTTACACACATTCCCACGGATTCGAACAAAACTTTACCATATTCTGAAGCAAATTTTCTGTATTCTCATTTGCAGTTTAAGCCTTTCATGGTAAAAGTAAATCCTAATAAAGATTGCATTGTAAAGCCCAAGTTTCGTAACAATTGCTCAATATCAAGAATAAAAGCACCTAAAAGTTTCAAACCTTATGAACAACATACCCAAAGTTGTTGAACCATAAAGTACGGAAGCAGAGGAAAAAAAAATGCCTAGCAAGCGTATTATTGTAAAAATTAAATCTCGTATTTTTCCTTTGTATAAAGCCAACGAGAATATTGGCCTATTGCATGTTCATGTTAAAAATGCAGTTGTAAATACTTGTTACAATAATTTATTTTGGCGAGTGTTTTGTTTTTCTCCTGATCATTCTGTTACACTAAGTTGACAGAACCATGATACAAGTACTTGCGCATGTAGGAGAACCAAACAAGTGTCTATGTGTGTCAGCCAAACAACAAAATCAATGTTACCTTGGCGATTTTGACAAGCTGATCGTTGTTGTCGTGACCATAGAAGAATGGCTCCTTCCGAAATATCTACAGGTGGGAGCAAAATTAAACTCCATTTATCAAAATCATCAAAATAAATAAGCACGTATAGAGGACAGCAAAATTCTTACCATTCCTGCAAACATACAACCCAGGCTCCACATGTCCAGAGAATAATCATAGTCTTGCAAATCCACAAGGAGTTCAGGCCCTTTAAAGTATCTGAATAAGAGATAAAGAATGACTCTCCATTTGAATGTAGAATCAAAATGATACCAATATAAAGAAGTCAAATAGCTTTCTAATGCTATGGCGTTAGACAAATGTAGGATCCTCTGTTTGCACCTCACAAAACCACTAATGATCTAGTTGAGCAAATATTTATCTTAAATGAAAGCATTAACTCAATAAAGATTGAATTTTATTTGTTCGATTAATAAATAATGGGTTTAGTGTGGCTTTACAAAACACTATCCACTTCAAGGGCAATAAAAGTTCAATCCAACAAATTATGCCAAAAAGTCTTTTCACCTTCCACCTTGGTTCTGACTTAAGTCTAAGTGAATGCAAACATTAATACCTTGATATCAAAATGTAGCCACTGCATGAAATCCCCTCTATTCAGGGTCTAGAGAAAAACAAAGAAACACAATCTTAGTCCTGTATATAGTGTCTACTTTTATGGCTCAGATTCGTGACACCCTAATCATAATAGAACAACCATACTGCTATGCCAAAATTCGCCCTCCCCATAATACGATGAAAAGATCCACAGTTAAAGGTTTCCCTAGAACCTTTAGAGAGCTTAAATATTCTTTGTAGACTCTACCACAAAGGCTCTTTAATGTAAAATTTCTAAAGCTGCTATTGGAAGGCATGTAACCCAGAAACAATGCAACCAATGACGCAAAGAGACCAGCATCGAGGAGCATTTCCAACATGGTTCCAACAAATTAGACAGACTCTACCTTGTCAATCTTGAAAGATGGCATCCTAGCACAGGGATCAAGCAAAAATAAATAACTACATAGGTTAGTTTGATTGTATATTGGAATGCTTACCTTGAAGCCACTCGGACATTATATTCTTTTCCAGGATGATAGAACTCAGCAAGACCCCAATCAATCAAGCGAAGTTTTCGCAGCTCATGGTCAATCATAACATTGTGTGGCTTGACATCTCTATGCATTATGCCTTGTGAATGACAATAATCCAATGCCTGCATTTTGAGAAAAGATGCACTCAGATAAATATGCAATAGCTGTGTAAAATCTGAGATGTGGTCCCAATTCGACAAAACACTCCACAGATTGTTGCCAATTCATGGTATTCCAACCAATTGGTAAAACCAAATGGATCCCCAACAAATAGGTAACTCTCAAGTAGTTGTACTATTATTTAAGTAACACCATTTGGTCAACCCCAAGCACTGCTTCAGTTGTCAGAATAACAGTTTCATTATAGCCAAATTGTAATCTAGATGTCTCCATGATAAGAAGTAAAGATTGAATTGTGACCCCCTCCCCAACTTCCAGCAAAAGAAAAGCAAAATCACAGAGAGATACAGTACATGCACTAGAGTAACCCACTTGCGTATTTGCAAGCATTTTAGGGTAACCAAGTGATGTATCATGCATAGCTACACATAATTTAACATTTCATCTACAGCTGGATTATTCACTATTTACCAAAGCAAGTGCAATGGTCATGGTCCAGAAAATTCATGCACATTATTGGTGCGTCATCGTTTACCAGACCTACTAAATGTGCACTCTGTAGGGATAAAACACATAAATCCCAACATGCAAGCAAACAATGGAAAAACAGCTTTGTGCATTTTTTTTCTTATTGAAAAAAAGAAGGGAATAGATATCCTTCAGTTACTTATCTAGCATTCAAATCTTATACCAGGTAATATGTGTACAGACATTTGATAATTCAGACAATGGTGCATATATACTTAGTATTCCAATTACGTTGGTACAAGCGCCAATGAAAAAATCCCTCAATTTCTATATCCTTTCCATTATAGAATATTCAGCATATTAAAACATAGGGATAGACATGTTCTCCCCCCCCCCCCCCCCTCTTCCCCCTCCCCCTCCCTCTCCCTCTCTCCCTTTACAAAAAAAAAAAAAGCAAATAACAAATGCAGTCTGTAAAACTAGTTTCTACAAAATCAGATGAACCAAACCTTGAGAAGCTCATATATGTAGTAGCGTATGTCATAATCCGTCAATGTGGGGTACAAGACTTTGAAATCTGTACTGTTCACATATTCAAAAATCAAGCTAGGAGTTTTTGAGTGCTGATCTCTGACAATATCAAGCAGTTTCACAATATTCGGGCCTCCACAAAGATTCTGAAGTATTTTTATCTCCCTTTTTATCTGCGCAAGTTGGAAAATCTTAGTATCCACAAATAACATCATAAGATAGATCCACCCAATAGAAAACTTAATTATGAAAAAATTTAACAATTGCAGGCATGCGGAAAACACATAATCCAGACACCTCAATTCTGTAATTACATTCACACTGGTTTCAGCACCAATAAGATGCATGGGCGATCATGATCACCTCCTAGCAAGTTGCAGCATGAGAATATAGCAATGTAAGAAACTAGAACATTTTATAGAGCCAGAATTCCACAATGACATGGACACTGAGATTCATTCTGTATCAAATGAATGATGTATTGTAGTTCGTCTCCATATGTAGTTAATATGGCCATAATCCCTCATCTAAAGCTGCATATCCATATAAACAGAAACCGCTGAGTGCACTCAATGAACAGCAGAATCAGCTTCTACAATAAACTTAAGCTCTATTAAAGGGAAAAATTTTCTCTCATAGTTGCCCTTATATAACTCAGCAATAATACAACACTGGATACAGAGAAAGTCAAATGTGTCTGTGCAATTTGAATATATGGAGCTTAACAACATGGTATGTATAGAATTGAGTGCACTCTGACATGATATATGACAGAGATTTACAAAAAAGAGGTATGCAACATATACTTGTATTTGACCAAAAAAAAAAAAACATATACTTGTATCGCCAAGTGTTGAATATGTACAACTCCAAATATCAGGACACTACACCAAAATACTCAACCAAAGTAAAGAAAGCCTTGTCAAAACAAGGTGTGATACCAACAACCCAACGATATCATACATAGGATATGATACTCAAGTGTGATATGATACTCAAGGACAGTGAAGTTTCACCTTCTTCTTTTTGACAGGTTTAAGGATCTTGATGATGCATCTTTCATTGTTGGTGACGTTCACACCTTCAAAAACCTCACTATATTTTCCCCTCCCAACTTTTCGAACAACCTCGTAGTCATCTTGATCGCTGAATACACAAGAATACATATTAGTTAAGACATATTGTACATAGAAAAATATCTTTGTGAAAATTTTAATGTCAAAAACGTGTTGCTAGGGAGGAAAAAATTTGATAGCTATAGCTAAGGTAAAAATTAGCACGAAACTCTGAGAGGGGTTCTAGAAGTATTTTGACTAATAAAGGCAACCCAAACGAGGCAAGAACTGTTCAATTCTGTCTTCGGCAAGTAAGTAAAGCCTGACTCTTTAACATGGAAGCAAATAATAAACATCCAATTTTTAATACATTTTGAATAAATAAAGTTTCTTAAGCAATAAAAGGAATACAATAAATTTGTATCTTCAGTAAGATAAGTCAAATTTGTTTATTAAATTTTGTATCTTAAATGATTTGTCAAAATCTTTTGTATTGAATATTTGGTGGAGTTACTAGACCTTACTGTTCTAACCATCCACATTAATTCGAGATACAAAATTTGGTAAATGATTTGGTAAGCATAACATTGCTCTATTTGACGAGTTATTTTATTTTTATTTTTTAAAAAAATTGAGAACAAAGACTAAATAAATTTAGAAAGCACGTAAGAACTGTTTCGCATGTTTTTGAAAAAATTTTTTTCTAAAATTTAGAAAACACCACTACTACTACCACCATCACACCATACCACCACCACCAAACTCCTACCACCACGTCCACCACATCACCTACAAACTCCCACCACCACATCCACCACACTACCACTACACTTCCACCACCACGTCCACCATATACCTCCACCACCACCGCCACCACACTCCCACCATCATCCATCACCATATTTCCACCACCTTTTCACCACTACCACCACCACCATGTCCACAACACCACCATATTTTGTTTTATTATTTTTTGGATTACTGTACAAACAAGTTTTACTATTTTCTATTATATAGATTTTTTTTTTAGAATCATATAACTAAATAAGTTTGACATACAAAAAACACCAAAAAACAGTTTTTTAATACTCTTATCAAAAACATTTTTTTTAATACTCTTCTCAAATTTGTTTACTGGATGTTGTATCTCAAATGATGTATCAAAATTTTATGCATTGAATGTTTGGTGGAAGTTACTAGACCCTACAAATTTAACCACTCACATTAATTTGAAATACAAAATTTGATAAATAATTTGATAAGTATAACATTGCTCAATAATAAAAGATTTTGGGGGGTGACATGTGGTAAGAGTTAATGTCTAGGATTAAGTCAAGAGAGATAAGAAAGATAAGAGAAAAAAAGTCTCGATGGACCTCGGATAATGAAGAGACGTGACATCATGAGCCAATGGTTGCAAACGATTCAGTGTGCAATAGATATTGTTGAAAATAGAGGTATGATTACTAGTCTCGTGGCCGAAAAAGACAGCTTCGGTGGTTGATAGTCACTGCCTATAAATACAGAGGCCTAAGTTGTAGAGAAGAGGTCTCTCAATTCGTCAATCGCGCGCGCACACACACAAACAGTATACCAGAGCCTTCCTTTGCACTGTATAGCTTAGTTTATTTCTTTTATATTGTAATCGTCATTTCGATGACCTCCTGTTTAATTTTAAGAACGGTAATTCATGCATCAATTCCTCTTTTTTGTTTACATTACTATCTTTTTTCTAAGTTATCTTAAATTCCTAGTTCATTTGCTCGTTATTAAGGAAATTGTTTGAAATCATTAATCTCCAATGTAGAGAAAAAATTTAAAAGTAGTCTTACGTTTCGTTTCAATCGCTTGAACAATTACGATTTTAAGACCCGGTTCAAGTAGGTAAGATCGTAAATATTTGAAAACTAAGTATTTTAGGACTTTGGCACGCTCGCAAATCCAAAATACGCTAAACAATTAGACATCTAATATGAAACATAGAGAATGAAAAGAAACTTAACAACTTATTAATCAAAGAAATAGTTAGGATCATTTAGCCACAAACATTGGTAAATAGTCCTGTTCGTTCTTTGTGCCAGTGTCCACCATATGGTCGCAAAAAATAGAATGTTTTTGTCATTGTCAAAACCAAACTCAAATTTAATCAAACGTCGGGATTAAAGATTCATGACCTAGCTCTAAAGGGTTGTCAAGATTCGTACTTAGAACGTTTGAATTTACAGTTAGTCTTTATTACCAATTGAACTATCCCTTAACGTTTTACAACCGGTTTCAACAATAGTAATTTGGCATCTCCGCTTCTCATGTCTGGGCATAGAACAGTTCTCATAGGAGGGTCTTATTAATATCACAAAGTCTCCAACCCACGACCAATTTTTAACATCATTAAACATAAAGTATAATGTTAAGAATCATAAAAGAATACGGCCCAATCCTTAAAAAAATGTCTAAAAAATTACAACAAGACCATGGTATGAACGTTATAAGGTACGTAAACCAAAAAAAAAAAAAAATGAGGTGGTAGTGAAGAGAAAATGGAAGCAATATACACAGTAAGAAAGAATAAAACAATTGTTGCGTATACGAGCACTAGCAGCGTCAAGAATGAGAAATTATACGTGTGTAGAGAAACTCATTCCATGTATCGGGTAAACCCGGGAGGCACCAATGAATACAGTCAGCAAAGATGGCCGGGTTGGCTTTTTGCTCGTCCGTGAGCATATTGCCTTGCCGGATGGTGTAGATCGAGGTATGAGCGTCTTTCCGGTACTCAGAGAGGGTGGTTATGTTGAGGAAGTGGACTGGGACTTTCATTGATTTGGTCACATTGGCAGCGATAACTAGGAGTCGACGGTCTACACCCACGTTTAGTGGCATGGACAAGTTCAGAATTGGAGTAGTCTCCTTGGCACATTTGATGCCTTCTGGGTTTTTCCAGTCCAAACTCCTATTAATAAAGAAAATAAATCGGAGACACGATGTTAGCGAGTGAAGGTTGATTAATTCCATACATGTAGGTAATCATTAAACATTTTGACCAACCAATTTGAATCATAAACTGACTAGGTTAGCGAGAAACATGACTATCCCGATGATTTATATGGTTTTAATCTTTTTATTTTAATTTGTATTTTATGAAGAAAATGTATGGTTTTTAAAAAATATTTTTTAATTTAATATTACTTTTAATCCTTAAAATATATATTTGTTATCAATTTAATTCTTATTAAATATATTACGACGACGATGAAGACTCTACTGTTTGCTAGATGAAAATGCCTAGAGATCATGTCCTGCTGTTACCCAACCTGATATACCCAACCTGTCAAACTATCTCCTCTAGACTAATACTTACAAGGTATATTAATGTTTCTTGTATTACCTGATATGAAGAGGAGACATGCTCATGAAGAAGACTGTGGTACGATTAGGATCCACATTCTCCTCCACCCATTGGGACCATGTCCTCAAAACCCTCCCATAGGCTACTGGCCGTTCGATCTCATCATACTCCGTGGAACCATCATCAAACGATCCTCGTCTATTTCGATCATTCCCACAAAATGCCAAAAAAAAAAGAGAAAAAAGAGAATAATAAAATCAGTAAAATATATTTTTATCGAAAAATAAAAGAAAAAAGAGAGAGGAAGCTTTTAGAATACTTACAGAACTTTCATAGAGGGAGTGTTCATCCACCATATGTAGGTGTTGAAGATCAAGTAGTCCACATTGTTCCAGTTATTAGAATGCTTTTTGATGGATTCGGGCATGATGATCCGGTTTAATATGCTGTGCACATCCGGATCATCCGAATTTGACTCCACCAAAAATGGTGCCCAGTAAAACTCCACTGTAGCATTATAACCCTGCAAATTTAACAAAATCATTGGGATTAATCCATATCTAATTTCTTAAGCAAGGTAGCTCCACCTACTACCACTACACTTGCACTCCAACTCTATCCAAGCAATACATGCCCACACACCCGCCCACAGAGAGAGAGAGAGAGTTTCTAAAATATATGTTTCAGCTCTTAGAAGTGATTAGGTACCCTTGGGGCGTTCACGCTACCTTACACGTAGAAAATATAGTCTTTCGTCTTTTTATTCGATACTTTACAGATGAATATTTTTTTAGTCTATCCTACTGATCAAGTGTGGTATTCCTATTTGACTTCAAGCCAAATTAATTGGGTAGGAAGTCGGATGAACATTTTTATAATTATTAATTTTTGGATTATTTTAACAATTCAATTAAATAACATACATTAATTTAACAACACAATAAACTAATAACACTAAAATATAAAACAATTACAACAACAATTATAATAAAATACAATAAAGTATAAACATCAATCCATCATAATTGTTGTACAAATATAATAACAATTATTTTAAATTTAAATCATATGATTAGGTAATTAAGGTTTTTAGTTTATATATATAAATGAATACTGGTAGAGCAGGATAGAAATACAAAAATTAATACTTATTCTCCATTGCTATCCGATTTAATCGAAAGATCTTAGACTCTTCTGTATTCTTATCTAATTTTTTTGGGCTAATCGTTTAATATAGTCGGGTAGAATAAAAAATTATGCTTAATTGAAAATTTAAACACCCCCAAGTGCCCCTTTTGCATAAGAAGTTAAGAACTCCACCAAAGACATAGTCTGAAATGTCGATGTATACCCCGAATGGCTTAGTATTAAATACAACAAAGCTCCTTCATTCATACTATAACTATACGATGGATTCAAATAAATTGTTACTTTGACCCCTAAATTTTTTAATGTAATTCTAATTGAACCAATAAAACATGGTGCTTAAAATTTCTATTGAAATGACTATCCATTCTACGGCAGAAAAGTTAGAACATTACCACCTTTGGTAAAATAGACGAAAGAATCAAAGTCATGAAACATAAGTTGTACGAGATCCAAACCAGGAATAATTAAAAAAAAATAAGGATCAAAATGCATAATTTAGGGGTTAATACTATATTTTTCCTACTAATCATCTATCTTTCTAATAAGGGAAATGCTATTAGGACCTTATATAAAAATTTTATTTAAAAATTTAATAATATATAACTATTAAATTAGTTGTAAATTTCTTTTTAACATTTAAACTCATAATCGTCGTGGATGGCTGTAGATTTTGGATCCAACTTTAAATCAACCAACGGAGGAAGGTCAATGTCACATGGTCCAGCTCCTCCGATAAGCACTCTACATGTTACAAAGTAGTCCATACGCATGATCATTGTGACCGAGGAAAATTATTATAGGACTAATCAACTTTAGGAATAGCCAGTACACAGAGAGAGAGAGAGAGAGAGAGAGAGAGAGAGAGAGAGAGAGAGAGACCTCAATTCTGAAAACAGATAGAGACCCAGTCTTGTTCAAGCTCTTTCTGCCCGGAGGAATGATAGATTGAACAAAACAAACCATAGATTCCCACTGGTTCCGATTCAAGGAGTCCCCAACAAACATAAGCCTCTTGTTCCTCAGCTTCTCAAGAAACAATCTTGGTTTGAACCTTAACCAAAATACCAATCATCAATATACATACATACATACATATATATATATATATTATGTATATGTATATGAATATGATATGAAGAGTACTAATCTATTGAAATTCTTACTTGGGCAGTGAACAATCTCTGGGTTGCCACCTCCAGTTCTGGTAAAGTGAATCTTGTCTTCCATTCCTCATGCAAGTAACCTGCTCTGTGAGAAACTCACAATCATCTTCTTTGTAAAGTGGGTGGGTGGTGTTATCAAAAACCCATTGTCCTGTATAGAGATCACAATCTTCAGGAGGCAATTCAATTTCAACCTCTTCTTCATCGTCTGGCAATTCAATTTTATCTTCTTCTTCTTCTTCAGAATTCTCTGCTTCTGTTTCCTCCACTATAGTTCTTGAACTCAACGAAACTGAAACTGTGTCTTCCTCGCCGTTCTCGTGAGTTTCTTGATTTGGGTTGTTTTTTGGGTATGGTTCTGGTGGGATTTCTTGAACTTTGGGGCTCGAAAATGGAAACTGTGCGATGGACTTCACGTCTTCATTGTAAATGAAGCATCCAAGGAAAAAAAGAGAGAAGAATACGAGCACAATGAAAAGGATATTGTATTTGCGGCCACCACCGGCGTGATTCATTGAGACTGTTTCGGAGAAGAACAGTGCTGTTTTCCGTCAATCAAGGTGGCTGCGCGAAAAGGAGGAGTGATGAGAGGCGAGGGAGGATAGAATTGGAAATATAGAAGAAGAAAAAGAACATGTACTAGAGAGAGAGAAAAAGAGAGTAACATGTATTAATCTTTTGTTTATTGAGATTTGGTGAAATGGGTTAGTCTTCAAGAAATTGGTGGCTGGAGTGCTGTTTCTTTTCCTTATCAATTTTCCCTTCTGATCATTTTCTAACTACCTTCTTCACCTCTTGCAAACCATGAGAGAGAGAGAGAGGTGATTTCACAACTTTTCCAAGTTTTCCACTCCTTTTCAATTTCAATATGAAGGGACCTGTTGTTGTGAAGTAAATAATCAGTATCACCGCATCATTCACCTGCTCCTTTTCAATCTCAATAATATATTTATTTTCAATCTCAGTAATTTAAGTTACAATACCGAAAAATAATAATAACGTAATATCATCCCTACCTTATTGAATATTTTCTTCTCGTTGTTGGAGTATGATAGTGGTAGTGTTCCCAAGTCAAACAAGCCACCTTTTAAGCAATTTTTTCTTAATTTAGAGTCCCAATCAATTTATTAATTACCCAATAAGATTTGTTTCATCGATTTCTCTTACTCTAAAGATTGGAAAATACTATGTATACTAAATTTTTTACTAAATTTGTGCACGAACCATTGGATTGGTAGGCCCCACTATCATCCAACTGCTCACTTCCATTTTTTATGCACAAATTTTGGTGCAAAGTTTTAGTCTATATAGCACTGCTCCTAAAAATTTACTCATTCTATCAAATGTACAAAATACCTTTGTTTCATCCAATGGCCTAGAACTTGTAGATGGTCAGATTTATAAGTGTAAATAACATTACTTATTCCATATTGCCCTTTGAGATGGTCATCTTGGTATTCTTTTTTTTTTTTTTTAATTTATTTGGTCACTATTTTGAATTTTTACATGGAAAGGGGGCGATGAAGTTCAAATCTACAATCTAACGGTCCAATGACATGTTAGGTCAACTGTTGATCCTTGTCATCTTCATATTTTGTAATGATGGAAAGAATCAAATGTGTATTTTGAAGGTAAATACAGCACAAATTAAAAATGATGTAAAACAATATTAAATAATACAAGTAAAGTTATTTAGATTTAATTCACTGGCTTAAATCATTGTAGTTTTTTGAAGTCCTAATGTTAGATGGAGTCCTTCGTCAATCCAGTAGCTGTAATAGATTAGATCAGTATAAATTTATAATATAAAACATGACATATTTCAGTAAGTCATTCCGACGGCCCAAATAAACTCATCCAACGCCCACTAACATCTCTTTCAAAAACATTCACATTACACCGGACCTTCAGACACGAGTTATCCTAATTAAATTAATAAATTAGATCCGAATATCATATTTTAAATAACATTGCATTGATATAGTGATGTTTGTAATCCCATTTTTTTAATACTAATTTTGAATTTAAATTTTATTTGTCATACTACATCTTTTAATCTTTTTTTTTTTTTTTTAAAATTCTTAGCACTACCTTTTTTCTTATTATTTCTGAGCCGTACCATCATTGCCCTAATTCACATCCATGTATTAATTTATGACAAACAAGTGACTAATTTTTTTTTTTTTTAATGCTCTAACATTTGTGGTAATGCTGTAGCCTAATTACAACTAAGCATATATATATATATATATATTATATTGTGGGGGATACTTTGCTTGATTAGGTTGCAATTGACTTGTATCATTTTTATATATTTTTTTCTCAATTTTTAATAATAGTGGATCACCAACTATGGATTGATAAGGATTCCACTAAAAACTAAACCACGTTGAGCGAAGCCGTACCAAAGGAGATTTATTATCCGATTCTATTAATTGAAACTCTAATATCTATATCTATATTACTTATAAATGTTAGTTTTTGTAAAAAAAATTGATTTCTTATTTTATCCATAATTATTATAATAAAGTCAATTATACCCACCTATAATCTTTCATTTAATTTTTATTTTTTATTCTTATTTGACTTTCAATTTATTTTAGACTTTTTTATATAAATTTTTAAATTTTTTTGAACTTATTTATTAATTATACAGTTACATACAATCTCTTATATCTATATGAATAAGTAAAGACATAGACATATTAAATTATTTTACACGTGTAGTTATCATATTGAATTTCACAGTCAAATATATGTTATATTTTATTTTTTTAGTATGATCAATCTATTTAACAAAATAAAAATTAATAATTCTATAATTTAGCTATACAAATGCCTAAAATAAAAGACAAATTAAGTACTCAGAGACTAATAGAATAAACTAATAATAATTAAAATAATCCTTATTCGAAATCTAATTTATTATTTGATTTAATTATACATATAAATAATCTTTTTATAAAAATTTTTATTTAAATTTATTTACGTGCAATGTTCGTCATGTATTGGGATGTCAATGGACCAAAGCGAGGGCGGGGGGTGCTGTCTCCATCCCCGTACCTGCTTAAAAAATCTCCGTCCATACCTATTAGCGAGTATAGTTTTCATCTCCATCCCCATTCGCAGATAAATTTCTAATTCCCACCCTCGTCCTCGCTTCCCCCTTACCCGCCAAAGCCTAAGCCTTTTTATAGATGATATTTAGAGC